ACGGCAACCAGGAGTCGAACACACGAGCACAGGTTTCTGGCGTACCCAGGGGACGCAACTCTGTACAGCCAATAGCGGAATGTACACGTACACACACACACACACACACACACACACACACACACACACACACACTCACTCACTCACAGAGGGAGAGAGAGAGACCGACACACACACACAGACCGACACACATGCGCACACGCACGCACGCACGCACGCACATACACACGACTGTGATGATGATCACTGTGTTGAAAATGTGACGTTTCAACACATAGCTGTCCTGAATTCATGAGAGCCTTAAGCTGACCTGGTATTCTATTTGGGCCGAACTTGGCATCTTTTAAAGATCTTTTTTTAAGTGACGAAATGGTCCTAATCCAATATTTCAAATCCAAATTATTCAAGCATTTCATGTCTTCTTTAGAAGATAAATGTCCACTGAATTCACGAGATACATAATTCACAAATGCACTCCACATTGGCCATGTGATCTTGAAATATCCTGGTGTTCATTTTAATCGACAGACAAAAACATTTAAACAGATGATTCGTAAAATTTTTATTCTAAGATCTTGAATCTGGGAATTTATTTGCACAGTTTATCTACAAAAGGCACGGAGGGCAATCGTGAAGGAACTCCCAAAACCTGCCGTTTCCTCTCGAAGCCCTTGGGTGCATGTATATTCTCCTCATGAAATATGGACCAAAGTCTTAAGCGAAAATAATCATTCTGAAGGGTAATGAGTTGCATTCATTTGTCGCTGTGCACGGGAAGCTGTTTGACCTATGAATTAAACCAAGTGCAAAGATGCCATGACACGCGTGAACTTTCCAGCAGCCTGGGCAGGTTTGTCATTCAGGTGCAAAGAAGTGCCAAAAAGTCAAAGTGCGAATTATACACAAATAGCTCCGGTGTATGTATGTCTTGTATAAACTCCCTAACGTTTAAAAGATTTTAATGACAGTTAAGATAGTGGGTTTTTTTCTGGTGGATCGGATGATGAATAGAAATATTTGTGGTTCATGGTAATTTATATTGTCTGGGTTGCTTTATAAACTATTGTAAAACTATAATAGTGGCGTGGTATATCCACTCATTGCTGATATAAATGAACACAAATGCAGGCGGTGGTACGAGTAGGACACTACTGATATTGTGTATCGACGTGCACGTGGTGCATCAAGTCAATTTTCATATGACGTCTGTGACATTTCAAACTTGCACTGGCAATAAGTGCTGTTGGCGACATTCGCCGTCACCATACACTGAAACTACGACGTTTTCAATGACTTGGTGTTTTTTTCACGAGTGCTAAGCTATGTTTTCGTTGTACCGGGTGTGTGAAGTTGCAAGAGAGATGGTGTAAATGTCATAACCTGTCCCCCTTCAGCACTGGGGACAGTATACTGACATGCCTTACTTGTTCTAGTAACTAGTTTGTGCCACAGAGACACTAATTGCACAACATAATGATGATGTAATAAATCATAGAAGGTTGGTTCCACACTATAAGGATATTGGACACGAGCAATCTAAATCAGTGTATGGGTGGGCTGGTGTGAGAGCTAAAGGGCCAGCCGACGCGAGAGCGTTTGTGAATGCGTGGACCATCTGTGAATGATGGGACATACAAAATTATTAAGTGAAGGCATATGCCAGTGTTGTTCACATTCGTGTATGGGACAGTGTTAGTGAATGAGTGAGTTGGTTTTACGCCGCTTCTAGCAATGTTCCAACAATATCACGGCGGGGGGACACCACGTGGGGTCTTCGGCGTGCCCAGCAAACGCTTTAACCAGTAGGCTACCTCTCCGCCCATCACAATGTTTGTGAAGGAGTGTGTGGGACAGTCTTTGTGTAGGAGTGTGTAGGACAGTCTTTGTGTAGGAGTGTGTGGGACAGTCTTTGTGTAGGAGTGTGTAGGACAGTCTTTGTGTAGGAGCGTGTAGGACAGTCTTTGTGTAGGAGTGTGTAGGACAGTCTTTGTGTAGGAGTGTGTAGGACAGTCTTTGTGTAGGAGCGTGTGGGACAGTCTTTGTGTAGGAGTGTGTGGGACAGTCTTTGTGTAGGAGTGTGTAGGACAGTCTTTGTGTAGGAGCGTGTGGGACAGTCTTTGTGTAGGAGTGTGTGGGACAGTCTTTGTGTAGGAGCGTGTAGGACAGTCTTTGTGTAGGAGTGTGTGGGACAGTCTTTGTGCAGGAGTGTGTGGGACAGTCTTTGTGTAGGAGTGTGTGGGACAGTCTTTGTGTAGGAGGGTGTAGTCTTGTGTAGGAGTGTGTAGGACAGCGTGTGGGGACAGTCTTTGTGTAGGAGTGTGTGGGACAGTCTTTGTGTAGGAGTGTGTAGGACAGTCTTTGTGTAGGAGTGTGTGGGACAGTCTTTGTGTAGGAGGGTGTAGGACAGTCTTTGTGTAGGAGTGTGTAGGACAGTCTTTGTGTAGGAGTATGTGGGACAGTCTTTGTGTAGGAGTGTGTAGGGCAGGGTCGGTGAAGGTGTGGGTAGGTGTTTGTTGGACAGTCTTTGTGTAGTAGCGTGTGGGACAGTCTTTGTGTAGTAGCGTGTGGGACAGTCTTTGTGTAGGAGCGTGTTGGAGAGCGTGTGGGACAGTCTTTATGTAGGAGCGTGTGGGACAGTCTTTGTGTAGGAGCGTGTGGGACAGTCTTTGTGTAGGAGCGTGTGGGACAGTCTTTGTGTAGGAGCGTGTGGGGCAGTCTTTGTGTAGGAGCTTTGTGGAGGTGTGTGTGGGACAGTCTTTGTGTAGGAGTGTGTGGGACAGTCTTTGTGTAGGAGCGTGTTGGACAGTCTTTGTGTAGTAGCGTGTGGGACAGTCTTTGTGTAGGAGCGTGTTGGAGAGCGTGTGGGACAGTCTTTGTGTAGGAGCGTGTGGGACAGTCTTTGTGTAGGAGCGTGTGGGACAGTCTTTGTGTAGGAGTGTGTGGGACAGTCTTTGTGTAGGAGTGTGTGGGACAGTCTTTGTGTAGTAGCGTGTGGGACAGTCTTTGTGTAGGAGCGTGTGGGACAGTCTTTGTGTAGGAGCGTGTGGGACAGTCTTTGTGTAGGAGTGTGTGGGACAGTCTTTGTGTAGGAGTGTGTGGGACAGTCTTTGTGTAGGAGTGTGTGGGACAATGTCTGTAAAGGCGTGGGTCGGTGTTTGTTGGACAGTGTTTGTGGGTCGGTATATGTGAAGGAATCTGTGGGACAGTGCTTGACTGAGTTGGGAAGGATTTTTTCAAAAACCATGTCACCTGTGAGGCTGGGTGAATATGTTTTTATTGTGCAGCAACATATTCCTGTGAGTGTATGCACACAAACATAATGTGAATGAGAGTGGGTCAGTCTCTGTGGACCAGATGTGGAATGTACAGGCCAATGTTTGTGGTCAAGTGTGGGTCAATCTTTGTGAGCGAGGGAATATAATGAGAAATCTGTCATGTGAGGTGAAATGGGTCTAAAGTCGTGTTCAAGAGTTATTGTGTTAATGTAGGGAGGTGCATGCACTAGTGTGTGCTTGTGTGCTTGTCCAGAGCAGCATCTACGTCCAACTGACTTGAAATGAGTGAATGGCATTGTCCAATCCTTTTGAATGATAAACTGCATGTGCAGCAGTTTGTAACGTAAGAGAGGATCTCAGTAGCTTGGGCGATTCATTCCGCAAAATCATTAATCACATATTTTCTAGTGTAAAGATTTTCTTCAATACACCTTAAAATGCAACTTGTCACTAACTACATATATGAATTTAATTTCTGTTTCCTTTACTGCTAAATCAACTAAAAAACAAAAGGCTTTCAATTATTTTGATAGATTTTATTCTCTTGAAATTAAAAACGAAAATGTGCATTTTGATTGAACATAAATTTCAGATGACAGACACGCACATGACAAAGATAGGAAAATATATAGGGACAGATTTTATAAGTAGGAAATTCTCATATTCCCGCAATAACAGTTTGTGAATGTATCACTGGACATGGCCTTTGTGTTGGTCATATAATTTATAACATCAGCAAAATAAGCATTTGCAAAAATTATCAAACAAATCAAAGCCTGATAATTGTTTCCTATTTACTTCCTTGTCAGATGTCCGAGTAATAGAGATAAACATACTGTTTTTATCCTGTTCATAACAGAAAATAACAATGCCAGTATTCAAGGGCAATTAACTATGATCACTGATCTCACTTTGGTCATGAGGCAACTTGAGCCCTTGTCATTGTACAGAGTCCGGCACCTATGAAAAGATTGAACACCTTTTCACCATTAGCATAAGTTAGTACCTGAATTTTGTTAAATGCAAGTCTCTTATATTCCAGCTACTTGACAGTGGCCTGTGAATAATTAAGTCTGGAGCAGACAGAGCCTGAAAGCATCTGGAATGGCCTCTGGTGTCAGGGTACAAATACCATCAGCCAGACCTGCAAGTCGTCAGATCACCTGGTGCATTTTAGGAGACTCAAACACCAACCAGATTCCACAAGGGGAAAACACATCAAGTAATTTCCAGAGTTCAATTCCCAAAACTTGCAATATTATCAAGCTGGAACTGGGCATATATTTTACCATTAGTCATCCTAAAGAGGAGAATATTTATACATTTACAACAGATATTGTACATCAAATTCTGTTCTATCATTACACATAGTAGAAGATTGAGTTTTTTCACCGTATAGAATACACTGCATAACGTAAATGAATCATCTAATTTCTTAACCATATCACAACCAGTAACATAGTATATGATAAATGAAGGGTCTGATCCATAAAGGCACACCACTGCCTACTCCAGGTCCCAAGTATGGTTGTGCACTGACATGAAAGAGACCCGACCTGAAAGCCTGTATTCTGTGGTGGTCAGACACACATTGAATGTACTCCATGTAATGGTAGTAAAATTTACAAACATTTTCCGATTTTTGACATGATCAAAAAACCTGCAAAACAATTGTCTCAATATGTTAATTTTCCAGACTGTCTATGACTAAAAGGAAGTACCTCTTTGAATATACATTACTGCTGAGTTGCTGACAAGAATAACCCAACAGTTTTCTGCCAACAGAAAATTTTAAAGTAAATAAAAAGATAAGAAAAGAGGGTTGAAAAGGCTTGACTTCTCAGGGGCGGGTGCAGCTTTTTGAGAAGGGGTTGGGGGTGGGTGTGCACACTTTTGAGAAAAGGGGGTGTGCAGACTTCATTTTCGCCCGAGTTTCAATGGTCATTGAAAGAACTTTCAGGACAAAAGGAGGGGTGCGCACCCCTGCACACCTATGGATCCGCCTATGCTTGGATGAATTCAGATGATGTGCTCCATACACACCATGATCTGAAGACGTGCAAACAGACCTGTCACAATGTCGAACTCAGATGCCTTATAAACTGATGGTACCTCCATCAGGTTCAGCTTGCTAAAGGGAGATAACTCTAAAATCACAATTGAACAAGGGGATGGTAAGGAGGTGGTTTGGTGTGCTGGAATAACAATATTCCTGCCAACAATACAGACCAACACACTCTCTGTTAAAGGAGCTTGCAGCATTGATAGGAACCTGAGGCAATGTTTTAAGTAGATGGAAAGGACAAAAGGAATAGCTGACAAGTGCCTGAAAAACATCCTGCTTGTTCTGAATGGTTTGACAAGGCACTGATGACTAGAAGAAGAAATTATGATAAATTTATTGCTTCTGAAAGAAAAATGCCTTTTTATAAGAACTAAAATTTAATTCCATTTGATATGATAATAGTACTATTTAGCACAGTCCAATTTAATAAAATCCCATAGATTCCTCCTGTATAATCCTACAATATGAATGTCATAGCTTATACTCCTACTGTATAGTTACTATGCAGTACCACAGTCATAATGTGCCTGCCTCATCAGCTGGGTGGACTTGGCAGGTTGTCAGGTGCCAGAGTCAATTTTCGCCAGTTGATGACCAACTTTGTCCATTCATCCTGACAGCTTATTAAAAATCACTTTGCATAGACATATTCCATCATAAACAAAGTGATATAGGCATGTGACTGATGATGATGATGAGTTAGAACATACATAATGTTTAATTGGTTCCTATACATTTACACAGGTGCCTAGTCCACAAGCTGAGATGTAGGACTTGGGGAGATTGCCTGATAAGACACTTGTTGCTATGAGTGAGTGAATGAGTTTAGTTTTACACCGCTTTTAGCAATATTCCAGCAATATCACGGCAGGGAGCTCCAGAAATGGGCTTCACACATTGTATCTGTGTGGGGAATCTAACTGGGTCTTCAACATGAAGAGCGACTGCTTTAGCCACTAAGCTACCCTACCGCCCCTTTTTGCTATGAAGAAAAAGGGCATACAATCATTGTTTCATGTTCCTGAGTCATTAGTTGAAATGTATAAGTAGAGAATGCCACTTTGGATATCATCAGTCACAGTTCAAACAGTATCACACTCAAATAATGTAGAATAAAGTAAATATTCATTTTCATGCTTCCATGATCAGAAAAAAATAAATGTATAATTATCTCGGCGTTCATTCACACATTTGATTTCTTTTTTTGCAATAATTTATTCTCAGAAAAAATATGATAAAAAACCAAAAAAAACTAGAGTCTGGTGGTTACAGGCTTTCACTATACTTAATGAAATTGTATTTTAATGCTACAGGTTCTCTTGTTTGAGTGGCATTTAGAAGTTGGTGTGATGAACACCAAGGAGAGTTCTGTGGATATACAACTTCTTTGTTATAGCAATTGCTTGATAACGATGTTAGTAGCTACACTGAAGCATTGTTCATAATATGATAAAGAAGTTGTATATCCATAGAACTCTCCTCGTTGTTCAGCTACAGGTTCCTTCAGAGAACAATCTGAAACTTTCAAAAGATACATTTTAGATAAAGCACTGTTCATATCTGAATGTTTAAAACAATAGATATAAGTTTGCATTTTGTGGATGACAACAAATTACTTAGTTGTTTCAATCAATGAGATGATGCTTACTTTTATCTTACAATGTAGACAGGCTAAAAATACCAACAACATCAGCTACACTCCTCCTTCTACACATAGTCGTCAGTTGGGGATCACTACTTTGTGATATCCAAACTCATGTATAACTGCAAAGTTTTGAGAACTGTGACATGGCTTGTTATGTTTCAGTCCTGAAACCTAGATAAATATGTTCTGTTTTCACTACTCAATCCTTTGTCCAAGTTGACAGAGGTCTGTAAGTTGTCAGTTGTGTTTTCAGCTAAAAGTCTTCCAAACAATGCACATACAACAGAAACAAATCTAACATCTGATTTCTGAACATAAACAAACAGTCAACATCCCAGGGCACTGATGAAATGTGGTTCCCATAACAGTGCTTCTGATGCCTCCAGTAAAAACAGTGGATACAGTTTAATACAATTTCCAAAGACTTACCTAATTATTTCCTGCATTTCAACAATTCCTTTATTTCTTCCATTTTCACAATTTTGATATTCTTCTCATTTTGACATTTTCCTGAGTATTATTTAATCAACAGAATCTCCCTGATGCACAGACAATACTAGAAGTTCCTATTATGCACAATGCAACACTCAGGGATGTAAGTTTTACCATGGCACGCACACCCACCAGCTATTTATACACCCACATGAATATTCACGTTTCAAATGATATCCTTCATGTATTTGTGATTAGCAGTTATCATGTCCTTTGGCTGGCCAACTCGAAGCCAGTCCGCCTGGAGAGCGGAAGGTCGCGGGTTCGATCCCCGACCACGTCATACCAAAAGACGTTAAAATATGGTACTTGTTGGTCCCTGCCTGGCGCTCGGCATTAATGGGTACAACAAGGACTGGTCGGCTCGGAGTCTGTATAATGTGTTTGAGTGGGGTATTCATGCTTCACTGCGGCATGGTATCTCAGTGGGCTAGCACTATAAAACCAGGTTAAGTCTGGGCTAGTACAAGCAGCCGCACATACACATACACACGCATGCACGTCGTCATATGAGCGAAATATTCTCAAGCACGATGTTAAACCCAATTTCACCTCACCAACTCGAAGCCATAAATATTTGTTTTATATAAAAGTATTCTGCATTGCATGAAATCAAATTTGAAAATGGACCAATGGCCTACATTTAACAATCTGAAGAGAGTTTTATAAGAATAAATTGATATCTGTTAGGTGTTTCTAAAATATATACAGGGACAACTTGTTCAGTTTGAAATTATTTGCCAATGACAAATACATGAAAGTGGGGAGAGGGTGGGATGTGTGGAATACCAATATGAGACCAGAATGAAAGTAAGGAATACACTGGGTCCATCGGAATACATCTTGGATACATTTTGAGTTAATGACACTAATGGTAACCTTATTATTCTATAGATTATTTGCAAGTGCAATTGATGACATTTTTTCTGAGATCTGGTGGACAATGGCCAATTTATAAGGGGTCATAGAATTAAAATATTGAGAAGATTTCCTTTCCTGCAACCAGCTCTGTTAAATAATTTCAGTTAAAACTAAAGTACGACAGAGAAGAAGTGAAGTGCCCCTCTGACATATTCCTCCACAAAATATCCTTCACTCAAAATTTTCTATATTTCTTCTGTTTTAGGGGATCACTTAAGAAAACAATTATTTTCAGAATTGTAGTTTATATTTTGACCACTAACTTATTGTAAATCAGAGAGTCCTACCCCATCCCTAACCCTGGCAACCGTGTGTCAGTATATGCTGCATCCTTCTATCCCATTCATACCATCTAAAGCTGGCTCCTCACTTCTAGCCTGGTCACTCTGATCGAGCTTTGCAATTGTACTGACTTCAGCCTGTTAGTTGTCTGATACTCATACCCTTGAATTTTAAATTTCCCCTTAATCTTTATTTTAGTCATTAGAAAAGAAAATAGCTGCTTTTGTACAATGCTGGTATCGTCTCTGTACACGCGTGACACTAACATGTACACACTGTTCCTATGTACACAGACTCAGCTATCATCATGCTGGGGACACAAGTCTATGCCTTCAGCCCCTTGCTCTCCAGAAAGGCTATTGGTTTGGGGTCACGGCCCAGGAAGTTCTTCAGCATGTCTGCCCCGTCCTGGAAGCAAACAGATATGATGATTACAGTAAAGAAAGTTTATAACAAGCACACTTACAATAAACTGACAGATATAACCAACTGTTGTTTTGGTCCTGGGGCTCCTTTCACGAAGTAACCTTTATTAAAGTTAACCTTAACTCCCATTCTTTAACATTGCACTAAGGTTATCTTAGTGACTTACGATCACCTTAGTGCTTTGTGGAAGGAGGCCCTAGCCATTTGCTGTATACTTTAGTCAAAATGTGAGGGAGTGAATGAGAGAGTGAGTGAGTTGGGTTTTACGCAACTTATATCAATATTCCAGCAATATCACGCTGGGGGGACACCAGAAATGGGCTTCACGCATTGTGCCCATCTGGGGAATTGAACCTGGGTCTTCAGCGTGATGAGCCAACGCTTTGACCACTAGGCTACCCCAAAATGTGAATAACCAACTACAGTTATAACTAACTGAAATTAGTGGTCCCTTTGAATTCATTACCACAGTTCACTATATCATCATAATCATCAATCTATTGCGCTGCAAACCATCATTATAACAAAGCTGCTGTGATACTAGTCACTTTAACCAACAATACTGTTATTACAGTCATTGCACACCTCACGTCCACCACTTCATACATATTCATACGGTTCAAAAGTGTCTCTCAAAATCTTGTGAGAAATGTCAGATCGTGGTATATGAAACAAATTGAGAACATTGGCTCAGTGACATTTTTGAAAATATGTGCATCAGTATTTATACACACAGCTTGTTGAAAACTTCAGTTTGTTCAGAAGACACTTACCACCGACCCTCCAGGTGCAAGGATGCAGTTTCGGTAGCTACGGCCGACATCTGGATTCATGATTCCCTCCTTCCTGAACCGCGAGTAGAACATGTCCATGCAGAATACCTCACTCCACTGAAACACAGAACACACACCCATGGTGAACACATCCATGGTGAACACATCCATGGTGAACACACCCATGGTGAACACATCCATGTGTGCTTATCTTGGGAATGTTCAATTATCAATGACGCCACGACAAGCTACTGGACAAAGGAGTTTTTACTCTGTTAAAAGAAATGTTCCACCTTCATCATGGTTGTCTGTAAACAGTAAGTCTGGCCAAGGCAATAAGTGGTAGACAGGGCAATGTAGACAAGTGGTACACAGCACAATATAGACAAGTGGTAGACGGTGCAAGACAGACAAGTGGTAGACAGGGCAAGACAGACAAGTGGTAGACAGGGCAAGACAGACAAGTGGTAGACAAGTGGTAGACAGGGCAAGACAGACAAGTGGTAGACAGACAAGATAGGCAAGACAGACAAGTGGTAGACAGGGCAAGACAGACAAGTGGTAGACAGGACAAGACAGACAAGTGGTAGACAGGGCAAGACAGACAAGTGGTAGACAGGACAAGACAGACAAGTGGTAGACAGGGCAAGACAGACAAGTGGTAGACAGGGCAAGACAGACAAGTGGTAGACAGTGCAAGACAGACAAGTGGTAGACAGGGCAAGACAGACAAGTGGTAGACAGGGCAAGACAGACAAGTGGTAGACAAGTGGTAGACAGGGCAAGACAGACAAGTGGTACACAGTGGTAGACAGACAGACAAGTGGTAGAAGACAGACAGACAAGTGGTAGACAGGACAAGACAGACAAGTGGTAGACAGGGGCAAGACAGACAACAGTGGTAGACAGGGCAAGACAGACAAGTGGTATGCAGACAAGGCAGAGACAGACAAGTGGTAGACAGGGCAAGACAGACAAGTGGTAGACAGGGCAAGACAGACAAGTGGTAGACAGGGCAAGACAGACAAGTGGTAGACAGGGCAAGACAGACAAGTGGTAGACAGGGCAAGACAGACAAGTGGTAGACAGGGCAAGACAGACAAGTGGTAGACAGGGCAAGACAGACAAGTGATAGACAGGGCAAGACAGACAACAAATATGTGATAGACAGGGCAATATACACAAGTGGTATACAGGACAAGATAGACAAGTGATAGACAAGTGGTAGACAGGTCAATATACACAAGTGGTAGACAGGGCAAGACAGACAAGTGTGGTAGACAGGGACAAGAGTGGTAGACAAGACAAGGGTATAGACAGGACAAGACAAGTGATAGACAAGTGGTAGACAGGGCAAGACAGACAAGTGGTAGACAGGGCAAGACAGACAAGTGGTAGACAGGGCAAGACAGACAAGTGGTAGACAGGGCAAGACAGACAAGTGGTAGACAGGGCAAGACAGACAAGTGGTAGACAGGGCAAGACAGACAAGTGGTAGACAGGGCAAGACAGACAAGTGACAGACAAGACAGACAAGTGGTAGGACAGGGCAAGACAGACAAGTGGTAGACAGGGCAAGACAGACAAAGTGATAGACAGGACAAGATAGACAGGGCAAGACAGACAAGTGATAGACAGGGCAAGACAGACAAGTGGTAGACAGGGCAAGACAGACAAGTGATAGACAGGGCAATATACACAAGTGGTATACAGGACAAGATAGACAAGTGATAGACAAGTGGTAGACAGGTCAATATACACAAGTGGTAGACAGGGCAAGACAGACAAGTGATAGACAAGTGGTAGACAGGGCAATATAGACAAGTGGTATACAGGACAAGATAGACAAGTGGTAGACAAGGGTAGACAAGTGAAGACAGGGCAAGTGGTGACAAAGTGGACAAGTGGTAGACAGGGCAAGACAGACAAGTGGTAGACAGGGCAAGACAGACAAGTGGTAGACAGGGCAAGACAGACAAGTGGTAGACAGGGCAAGACAGACAAGTGATAGACAGGGCAAGACAGACAAGAGATATGTGCTGTCAGGGCACGATGACACAATGTACACCACCTTCTCCATATACATGGGGCAGTCAGAGCCTATTCCCTGAGTTACTTCCTATAGGAGTGAGAAGAACTGTGACCTACCAGATAGCCGTAGTATTGAGCATCATACCCTCCAGCTAAATGACCAAAGGCAGCGGGCATATTGGTTCCTGGAGTTGGGACGATGCCCAGAATCTCCTCAGAGAGCTTGAAGAATATCTTTGCTGTATCAGCCTGGAAAGAAACACAATGATATCAACACCCCCATGTAGTACTGAAGTAGTTCACTTTGTGTTCTTGCATCCATCTACAGTCCAGTGTAGTGTGTAACAATGATGCATGTGAGTGCTGCTGCTCTGGGACTTAAAGTAAGGCCAGGAATGATTGGAAAATGCTTTTGGCTTCAATATCAATATGATGAATTTGACACAAGATAAAAGCACATATATGATACATGTACGACTCTACCTAGTTGGATATTAAAGCTCAGATGAAAAAATGCACTTGAGGGGTGACTTCACAGGTGGAAATTTTGACGTTTTAACAACATTCGTAAATAAGTACAAACTGTAGTTTTGAAATACAGACTATAATTATTCATATAGCCTCAACTAATTAAATTACATAAATGATTGTAATTTTTGTAAAAAAAATTTAACATCTATGTGTGAAAAAGATGGAACTCTTGTAGTAGTATTATTCAAAATAATTACGCAAAAAAGTCTTAATTCAAATTGCATAGATAATCTTGTTGACCCATAGGAGTTTCACTTCATGTATGAGCATTGAATTGGCAACATGCGACTATGATATCTCTGCAGAACAATAAATTTCAAAATACCAGTATTTCATACTGGAGAAACAAAGGGGGAAACCTCTCGTCATCTATGACAGGGTTTACTATAGAATGTGTAAAGCCCTTAATTTGACATACAGTCAGGTTTACAAAGTTGTAAACAAATCAGTTACCTCAGGGGTCATGTCAAAATCAAAACCAGGTAGGAAACACAAACTGGATAGCTTTGATAAGGGTGTCACGCAGTATTTATAAACTGTATGAACGCAAATTCCCACCGACGAGTGCTTATATAGAAGATGAGATCAAAGATACAATAAATGTCTCGAAAACAACACTTATTGTAGCTCTGGTAGAAATGGGGTTCAGGTACACCAAAAGGGGAGATGACAGAGCTGTGTTTAGAGAAAAGTACACAATCCTGTCCATGCGATCAGCTTATCTCAGAACAGTTGAAGAAAGCCGCAATTTGGGGTTTCAAATCATATACCTTGATGAAACCTGGTGTAATAAACATAACTCAACCGATTGGATGTGGTTTCCTTCAGGTTGTTCTAGGGCCCCAGTGTTACCATCAGGCAAAGGTAGACGCCTGATCATCTTGCATGCTGGTACCCATAGCAAGGGACTGATTGGGGGTTGTGACTTTGTTTTTGAGGCCAAGAAATCTGATGGTGATTACCATAGCGAAATGAATGGGCACGTATTTTTGGATAATGCCAGTTACCATAACCTGCGTGTCCCTGGTACCATCACACCCACCATGAGCAATCTCAAGGCTCAGTTGTAGGATTTTGTCACTTCCTGTAACGTGCCTTACAGGCAATCAGAAACAAAGCCCCAGCTCATGGAAAAAGTCCGGCAGCACAAAAAGCCAATCCAGTACATCACTGATGAACTAGCTGCAAAACAAGGCCACATAATAATAATAATAATAAATGGATATTTCTTATGCGCCATAGTCCATCCAGAGCATGCTCAAAGCGCTACATATAAAAAGAGTCACTAGAGTTCAAGAGGAAGACATAGTTCTGCGTACACCAGTACGGCACTGTGAGCTCAATCCCATCGAGCTGATCTGGGGTAACTGTAAGAATTTTATTGCTCGCAATAATACCACATTCAAGCTTTCAGACATTAAAGAGCTTGTGTATGCTTCTTTTGCGAGAATTACCCCAGATGTGGCAAAAAGCTGAAGACCGTGTTCTCATAATCGAGGACGAATACCGTCTGCAGGACAGAGTTAATGTCAGCCGAGTTGCACCTGTTGTAATTCCGCTGCTGAGTCCTCTGATACTGACACTTGATATTTTGAGACCGTCCCTGACATGCACTGCCCGTGCGTTACATAACGCTGTCACCCTGTCTGCCTGCCAGATGGGTCACAGTATACGTGTAATTTGTTTCTTTGAAGTGTTTCTCCCATGGAATTTTTTCTAAGTTTTTCGATATTTTACGAGTAATCATTATGATTAGGGAATGGTACATCGTGATTACTCATATGCGATATTAGGTTGAGGTGGTATGAATGATTATATATGAGTTTTGAATCTGAAATATCAACCATTATCAAATAATTGCCAAAAAGCATTTTCCAAGCATTTCTGGCCTTACTTTAGTTTGCTGGTTTTCAGGTAATTTCAACCAAGTTAAACAATTCACATACAGTTGGACCGACTGATGTACTATCAGCCATGTCATTCTGCATAATATATTGGAGGAGTAACAAGAAAAGTGTCATTAAGATTTGTGTGTACTCTATTAAACTTTTATTAGAGGCAAAATAAATGAGTTTGTATAAATATTTCACTGTTTATAAGTGTAGTGCAATGAAAATGCTTCTGAGCATGAATTTGTGTACTACATAAATGTGCATGTTTATGAAAGAAATAGCAGTAATATAAGGGAGGTAACTCTGAAAACTTGCATATTTAGAAAAAGCACTCAAATGATCCAGGGCGACAACTAACATCATAATCTTTTGACCACAAAAACATGCAGAAATCATCTTACCTACACGATGCACCATGCTCGCGTTATTGTCCCTTACCTCGGGCAGTGTGTGTATGGTCTGGTCGAACGTCCCAAGGAGAATCTGCCGGAGGTTGAACAGACCAGCATTGGCAATCCGGCTCTTGGTGAGTTTTTTAAGGAGGTCATCTGGAATGGCTGTGCTGTCCTTGTAGTGGCCAGACATGCGACACAAGGGTTCTTGCTCCCAGCACCAGTTCTCCAGCATCTGGGAGGGCGCCTCCACAAAGTCTCGCTCCACATGGGTACCACTGCAGCAACAACACAATGCTCAGATTACAGGACTGGAGGGAGTCAACCACAGGTGTTCATTCTTAGCCTGGGGAAGTTAATGTCTGTGGTGCTGTTATAGTACAATAGTATCATCCTTAACCGGGGAATGTTCCAAGTCTGCCATGCTATGTCATGATACAATTTTATCATTCTTAATAAGGGAAAGTTCTGTGTGTCTGTGAGACGTATGTCAAGTCGAGCCCCCAACTGATGATTACATAACACATTACTATGACTGCCAAGAGAGCTAGAATACATTACAGAGAGAGGATATTCATGGGTACATTGTTACACATTTATAATGGCTAATTCATCATGTCATCTTGGAAGCAACAGTCACATACCTGAACAAAGCAAAGTTTGCCCGTGCACAGATCTGATGCATGACGTGGCCAAACTCATGGAAATATGTCTCAACCTGCAAGAATGCATGCTTTAAATCACCATGGCAACCACACATAATCAAACAACACATTCAACACATCACCAACAACTCAGATTTTTCGTCACTACAGTGGTTAAACTTCATGTAGGTTTGCAACAAAACTACAATCTTTCAGAACTACTCAAGGAGGCGTTTTGCCATGCATTTGTACTGAATACTGCTTTGAATAATATTTCAGTTACACTACTGCCAGTCAGTATAATAGGCGGGAAAATCCTGAGGGATGCAGCTGCTAGACCTTTACCACGATGGTGAAACCAACAGACATGGTACAGGCTGAACCAAGCATCATAATCTGGGATACAAACACATGATCCTCAGAGCCTGGCAGAACTAAGGATCATAATCTGGGATACAAACACATGATCCTCAGAGCCTGGCAGAACTAAGGATCATAATCTGGGATACAAACACATGATCCTCAGAGCCTGGCAGAACTAAGGATCATAATCTGGGATACAAACACATGATCCTCAGAGCCTGGCAGAACTATGGATCATAATCTGGGATACAAACACATGATCCTCAGAGCCTGGCAGAACTAAGGATCATAATCTGGGATACAAACACATGATCCTCAGAGCCTGGCAGAACTAAGGATCATAATCTGGGATACAAACACATGATCCCATAGATAATCTGGGATACAAACACATGATCCTGAACCAAGCATCATAACCTGGCAGAACTAAGGATCATAATCTGGGATACAAACACATGATCCTCAGAGCCTGGCAGAACTAAGGATCATAATCTGGGATACAAACACATGATCCTCAGAGACTGGCAGAACTAAGGGTCATAATCTGGGATACAAACACATGATCCTCGGAGCCAAGTGGAACTAAGCGACACAAATCTGCACAACAAATTACAGCACCTTACAACACTTGGAGATCAGTGGCCCTCATTTGTTACAATATGTAGGCAGTAACGGTATGAAAGAAGGCAGTAGATAGTGTAGAAGATATGAAAGAAGGTAGATGAAAAAACATCTTGGCCCTGTGGTTACACAGCTCACCTCATCATGGGTAAGTAGGGACGGCTGGTCTGCAGTGGACTTGGTAAAGTTGGCCACCATGGCAGCTATAGATATCTGGCGAGATCCGTTTGGCAGCAAACAACCAGGCTGAAACAGAGTCACATCACTAGTCATACGTCTTGAGTCATGTAGCATTATTTCCTGAAGGATTTCTGATGTCTTTTCCCCCCAAGACAAATTACCGGAACATGAGTTTACTATGAATAGTCTTTCTGATCACAGGCTGTTTTCATGAATAAAGCAAACGTACCTTTAACAAGTAGTTATGTGTTATCTCAATTAAGCACCTGTATCATGTCTAAGAGTTCATAGCATTCAAACCAGTCTTAAATCAGTAAAAGCAATAACTAAGGCTTTCACCATTAGGCAAAACGCAAATATCAGTAAATTTTGACTGATTTTCTTTGGTCTCCTCTGTATACACTGAACAACAAACTAGAATAACACTTGGGTTCCACTGGAAGGTATGAACACTTCCTTCCACAGCCTGTACCTGCAGACCGAAGCAAGCAGCATGGCCATATTTCCCTTCCCGTGGATACAGGTCCAGATAGAAGTAGCCCAGTAGCTCCTCTGTCTTGGCGTCGGTCACACTGTACTGAAAACAGACACAATGTTTCAGGGAATCCTTTGATCATACTAATTTATCATGGACTTTAACCAGTTACCACATTACTGTCAAATTAAATATATAAGAGTGTTGACTGTAATCCTGTCTGGTCTGGATATATTCTATTTTGCATATCTCTCTTTGATGAATAATATCCAAATTCAAGAAAAAACATTCCTTTCAAGATAATTCATAAATATTTGATTCTAGTGGCCTCAAATCACTATTTGAAGTAATGAAGGGATACGGTTAGATTCACCAAATATGTGAATGAATTGTAACAGCCTTGATGAGTAGTGTCTTGCTGAATATTTACTGACTATCGGGTATCCGCAGCACAACTAAATATCTTACCATGGTGACATCTTCAAACCAGACTTCAGGATCTTTGATTTGTGAAAACTTAAGTCCTAGTAGTTCCTGAAACAAACAGAAGTCATTAGGTAGTTGAATGAGGGATGTTATGTCACAGAAAATGAAAAATCTAGCATAGGGACACAATCAGCCAGCACAATCAGGGCAAAGGGAGACAGTCAGCCAGCACAATCAGACCATAGGGACACAATCAGGGCAAAGGAAGCACAAATCAGGGGACATAGGGACAATCAAGCATAGGGACACAGCCAGCACAATCAGGGCATAGGGACACAATCAGCCAGCACAATCAGGGCAAAGGGAGACAGTCAGCCAGCACAATCAGGGCATAGGGACACAATCAGCCAGCACAATCAGAGCATAGGGACACAATCAGCCAGCACAATCAGAGCATAGGGACACAATCAGCCAGCACAATCAGGGCATAGGGACACAATCAGCCAGCACAATCAGAGCATAGGGACACAATCAGCCAGCACAATCAGAGCATAGGGACACAATCAGCCAGCACAATCAGAGCATAGGGACACAATCAGCCAGCACAATCAGGGCATAGGGACACCAGTCAGCCAACACAATCAGGGCATAGGGACACAATCAGGGCATAGGGACACAACCAGCCAGCAAAATCAGGGCATAGGAACACAACCAGCCAGCAAAATCAGGGCATAAGAACAAAATCAGCCAGGACCATCGGGCATATAGGGCATGAGTATGCACAATCAGGGTTACTCCTACAACTGACCATATTCATGGGTGAAGCAATTGACTCAATACTTGTGTTTTAATCTAGTCTAGTGTTTTACAAATAGATTTTCATGATGAAGACCGTACCTGGTATATTTCCAGGAGGCCCTTGGTGACTGTCTCCATGGGGAAGTACTCCTTCAGCTTGTTGTGATCCACTGCATACTTTTTCTCCTCCACCATGGTCATGTAGTAGCGGAAGTCCCAGTAGTTGATCTTACCATCATATTCATAGCCATATGTCGCACACTGAAACACAGAAAGAGGAGATCAAACCAGGTTGGTTGGCCTTGTTCGTAAAGATATATGCACATTATTATGACTCAAATATTTTTCACTTTTTGTCACAATAAGTGACCTTGACTTTTGATGTCAGCCAATTGAATACCAGAAAAATATTGTTCGGCATGTTCCCCATGTTTGGCCATTTTTAGCCACAAGCCCCAGCCTAATTTACTTACTGGTCACAGCAAAGCAACTTGCTAAACAGTTTACTGACATCACATGATGCCCACATCCAAACATTTCGTCATTACTTAAATCCTTCTGTGTGGGGACCATGATCAGTTTCCACATCAATATGATGTCATCATATGGGGAACAATACAGGCCAAACAGGGGCGGATACAGCTTTTTTAGAAAGAGAAAGGTGCACAATTCATTTTCACCCATTTCAATGGTCATTTAATCAACTTTCAGGACAAAAAGGCGGATGCACACCCCTGCAACCCCCCTCTGGATCCACCTATGCCAAAGTTCAACTTCATCTCAGGAAGTTTCAAAGCAGCTGCTAGGTAAAAAGGAATTGCATGTTGAAATGATTTAAAAGCATTTCATTACATTTAGAGTGTAATGGCTGAGGGTACCAGAAATGAGCTTTACACATTGTACCCATGTGGGGAATCAAACCCTGGTCTACAGCATGATGATTGAACCACTCCAAAAAAGGTAACATTTCCATATACTGTTAAGAAGGGAACAGACCGCCTCCGTGGTGTAGTGGTTAGAGTGTCCGCCCGGAGAGCGGAAGGTCGCGGGTTCGATCCCCGACCGCGTCATCCCAAAAGACGTTTAAATATGGTACTTGTTGGTCCCTGCCTGGCGCTCGGCATTAATGGGTACAACAAGGACTGGTCGGCTCGGAGTCAGTATAATGTGTCCGAGTGGGGTATTCATGCTTCACTGCGGCATGGTATCTCAGTGGGCTAGCACTATAAAACCAGCTTAAGTCTGGGCTAGTACAAGCAGCCGCACATACACATACACATGCATGCACGTCGTCATATGAGCGAAATATTCTCAAGCACAACATTAAACCTCACCTCACCTAAGAAGGGAACATACATGTTAAACAAATACTAGATAAACAGGTTGAAACATAACCCCACATAAAATCACAAAATTCAGAAAAAAATCAAACTTGAAGAATTAGTAATAAAACTAAATTATATGACTGAAAAAATCTTCAAAATCAACAAAATAGTTGGATAAGCAACCACACCCCAAAGTATATTGCGATGTCAAGTATTAATCAATCCTGATAATACAAATTTATAAGATTACCTCTTCTTTCTTGAAATTGAGGAAGTCCTCCATCTCTCCCTTGCGGAGAGGTTGCAGCTTTTGTGTGAGATCTTTCAGGAATGTGTCGACAGCCTCTGGCGTCTTGGCCATACGCATGTCTAAGATGAAGGCAGAGTGGGTTGGGAAGCCAAGGAGTTTGGCTTTCTGAACAAAACAAAAGATCATTTCTGAGATATATTTTCTGCATTACTATTGAAGGACTAGTAAGAACTCTTATGATGCTGACAAATGGGAAAGTAGGTACTTTGGCAAGTGATCCCAGATAACTGTATCTTGTCCCCCGAAGGTAATATCAGTAGTATGACACTGTAGCTCATCTGGACACCTGGTCCTAAATACTGAGGAAGTAACACTAAACTCTAATTACCTGAACAAGGCTTCATTTCACATTTAGTGAGGTTGGGCTAATGTGTGGGTGTCACTAACAGGTCAAGTACAACATCAGTCTACTGTATGCAGTTTTCTGACTGTTCAACATCAGCCTACCATGTGGGTTTACTGACCTTTCAAGTATAACATTAGCTTACTGTGTGGTTATTCTGACCATTGAAGTACAACATTTGTCTACTGTGTGGATTTTGCTGAACTTTCAGTTACAATATTGTGTGGGTTTTACATACCATTCTAGTGAAGAATTAGCCTACCTTGTGGGTTTTACTGACCTTTCAAGTATAACATCAGCTAGTTACAGTACCAAATGAGACTACTGTGTGTTTTTACTGGCAGTTGCACATTAGCCTACTGCGTGTGTTTTACTGACAGTACACCATTAGCCTACTGTGTGGGTTTTACTGAACGTTCAGGTTCAACATAAGTGTAGTGTTGTGGGTTTTACTGACAGATACACTACACCGTTAGCCTACTGTGTGGGTTTTACTGACAGATACATTACACCATTAGCCTACTGTGTGGGTTTTACTGACAGTTACACTACACCATTAGCCTACTGTGTGGGTTTTACTGACAGTTACACTACACCATTAGCCTACTGTGTGGGTTTTACTGACAGATACACTACACCATTAGCCTACTGTGTGGGTTTTACTGACAGATACACTACACCATTAGCCTACTGTGTGGGTTTTACCGACAGATACACTACACCATTAGCCTACTGTGTGGGTTTTACTGACAGATACACTACACCATTAGCCTACTGTGTGGGTTTTACTGACAGATACACTACACCATTAGCCTACTGTGTGGGTTTTACTGACAGTTACACTACACCATTAGCCTACTGTGTGGGTTTTACCGACAGTTACACTACACCATTAGCCTACTGTGTTACACTACACCATTAGCCTTCTGTGTTTTTACCGACAGATACACTACACCATTAGCCTACTGTGGCTGTTTTACGGATAGTAACACTACACCATTAGCCTACTGTGTGGGTTTTACTGACAGATACACTACACCATTAGCCTACTGTGGCTGTTTTACGGATAGTTACACTACACCATTAGCCTACTGTGTGGGTTTTACTGACAGTTACACTACACCATTAGCCTTCTGTGTGGGTTTTACCGACAGATACACTACACCATTAGCCTACTGTGGCTGTTTTACGGATAGTTACACTACACCATTAGCCTACTGTGTGGGTTTTACCGACAGTTACACTACACCATTAGCCTACTGTGGCTGTTTTACGGATAGTAACACTACACCATTAGCCTACTGTGTGGGTTTTACCGACAGTTACACTACACCATTAGCCTTCTGTGTGGGTTTTACCGACAGATTACACTACACCATTAGCCTACTGTGGCTGTTTTACGGATAGTACCACTACACCATTAGCCTACTGTGGGTGCTTTACCGACTGCCTGTGAGTTTACAGTTACAGTACAGTACACATTAGCCTACTGTGGGTGTTTTACGGACAGTTAGAGTACACCATTAGCCTACTGTGTGGGTTTTACAGACAGTTACAGTACACCATTAGCCTACTGTGGGTGTTTTAAGGACAGCACAACATTAGCCTACTGCCTGTGAGTTGTACTGACAGTACACCATTAGCCTGTGTGTTTCACCAACAGTTACAGTACACCATTAGCCTACTGTGTCTGTTTTACGGACAGTACAACATTAGCCTACTGCATGTGGGTTGTACTGACAGTACACCATTAGCCTGTGTGTTTCACCATCAGTTACAGTACACCATTAGCCTCCTGTGGGGGTTTTACTGACAGTACCACATTAGTGAACATTGTGTGAGTTAATGACAGTACAACATTAGCCTACTGTGTTGGTTTTACTGACAGTTACCGTACACCATTAGCCAACTGTGTGGGTTTCACTGACAGTACAACATTAGCCAACTGTGTGGGTTTCACTGACAGTACAACATTAGTGTACTGTGTGTGATTTAATGACAACACAACATTAGCCAACTGTGTCGGTTTTACTGAAAATGCAACATTAGCCTACTGTGTGGGTTTTACTGATAGTACAACATTAGCCTACTGTGTGGGTTTTACTGATAGTACAACATTAGCCTACTGTGTGGGTTTTACTGATAGTACAACATTAGCCTACTGTGAGGGTTTTACTGACAGTACCACATTAGCCTACTGTGTGGGTTTTACTGATAGTACCACATTAGCCTACTGTGTGGGTTTTACTGATAGTACAACATTAGCCTTTTACTGATGGGTTTTACTGATAGTACCACATTAGCCTACTGTGTGGGTTTTACTGATAGTACAACATTAGCCTACTGTGTGGGTTTTACTGATAGTACAACATTAGCCTACTGTGTGGGTTTTACTGATAGTACAACATTAGCCTACTGTGTGGGTTTTACTGATAATGCAACATTAGTGTACTGTGTGTGATTTAATGACAACACAACAACTGTGTCGGTTTTACTGATAGTACAACATTAGCCTACTGTGAGGGTTTTACTGATAGTACCACATTAGCCTACTGTGTGGGTTTTACTGATAGTACCACATTAGCCTACTGTGTGGGTTTTACTGATAGTACCACATTAGCCTACTGTGTGGGTTTTACTGATAGTACCACATTAGCCTACTGTGTGGGTTTTACTGACAGTACCACATTAGCCTACTGTGAGGGTTTTACTGACAGTACCACATTAGCCTACTGTGTGGGTTTTACTGATAGTACCACATTAGCCTACTGTGGGTTTTACTGATAGTACAACATTAGCCTACTGTGTGGGTTTTACTGATAGTACCACATTAGCCTACTGTGTGGGTTTTACTGATAGTACAACATTAGCCTACTGTGTGGGTTTTACTGATAGTACAACATTAGCCTACTGTGTGGGTTTTACTGATAGTACAACATGATGGTACCACATTAGCCTACTGTGTGGGTTTTACTGATAGTACCACATTAGCCTACTGTGTTGGTTTTACTGATAGTACAACATTAGCCTACTGTGTGGGTTTTACTGATAGTACCACATTAGCCTACTGTGTGGGTTTTACTGGTAGTACAACATTAGCCTACTGTGTGGGTTTTACTGATGGTACAACATTAGCCTACTGTGTGGGTTTTACTGACATTTCAAGTACAACCTTAGCCAACACTACTGTATGATAAGGGCCACAGTAAAGACTAAAGTGCAATGTTTAACACTTGTCATACAACATAAAGCTAGTTGTTAGTGAGACATATATACGCCAAGGAGATGTCATCCGTGGTAGGTTTATGTATGTCATTATGCAAATGACCCGGAAGATGTCTGTTGTAGTTGCAGCCCTGACACTAAACTAGCCACAGTTATGCCAGTCCTGCTCACCTGTCATCATTTACACAAACCGCAACTTGGCCGCAGCCATTGATAGAGAGACAGGGTTAAATACCAAACTGACAAATTCTTTTACAAGAACATGCTTTCCTTTCCTGTGTTGTTTTTCTAGTAAAGATTAACTAGCACTGTAAAGGAAGGCGAAAAACAGTTAAGCAACAGTAGTGTAATCTTGGAACCCCAATGGTTTTTACAACATTATTATGACAAGGGCATCTTCACCTTTCCTGGTCAATAACAAACATTGAAAGCAATGCAATCCTACTTCATAATTTAGCCATTAACAAAAGACCTTCCACAAGTATGATTCTTACAGCTTAATAGTGCTAAAACAGTCAGTGACAATCATCTTATCAGACCCAGACGTTACATTTATTATCCATGACACAAATCAGTCCATAAATATGGGGGATTTTGGCGTTGTTTTTTAAGCTACGTTCATCAGTACTCTGACCTACCTGATAACTTCCTGACATATATCATTGCTATAACTGTGAGTGCAGGGATACGGAAGGTTGTGGGTCTTGTTCACTGACTACATACCTCATGCCTCAGCTTGACCAGCTCCTCCAGGATCGGGGGTGTTCTCCTTCAAACATCTTAAACAGAACCCATGTTCAGTGTTGGAGTACAGGGATAGAAATGCAATTTCTTGAAGGGTGAGGTGAGGTGAAATTGGGTTTTACGTCGTGCTTGAGAATATTTGGTTCATATGACGACGTGCATGCATTTGTATGTGTATGTGCGGCTGCTTGTACTAGCCCAGACTTAACCTGGTTTTATAGTGCTAGCCCACTGAGATACCATGCCGCAGTGAAGCATGAATACCCCACTCAGACACATTATACTGACTCCTAGCCGACCAGTCCTTGTTGTACCCATTAATGCTGAGCGCGAGGCAGGGACCAACAAGTACCATATTTTAACGTCTTTGGGGGTGACGCGGTCGGGGATCGAACCCGCGACCTTCCGCTCTCCGGGCGGACGCTCTCACAACTACACCACGGAGGCGGTCAATTTCTTGAAGGGTGCTATTGGGAATTAGACAGCTCATTTAGGTGTGCCTTTGTGAAAATATGTATGCCCATACCTCATGATGATCCAGTAAAACTTAAAAAATTACAACAATTATGTTATTTCAATTTATTGTTTAATACAGGAATAGATGTGTTATTATCCAAAAGAGGATTTCCTGTTATGCACACTGGCATTCAAAATGGCCATGGCCATGTCAAGCTAGGAGATTGAGAGTGCAATCAATAAATTTAGTCATGCTGCTAGGGCACATTGAAAATATTTCATCCCTGCCATTTCAATATTTAGCAAATTAAGAACTTTTGATCCCTGGTGTAATTTGTACAGAACATGTTTTTGGGGTCGATATGACAAGTTGCATAAGTAAAAGTAAACACTGTTTTAATCAGAATTAATTATTGAATAAATATATCAATAAGGATGTAGATCACAGAAAAATGTCACAATTTTTCATTATGTTTCTTTCGAAAAATATTTTGGATGAACCATTGCACTGATGCAAACATTAGGGTTTCTAGAAATATATATTGGTCACTTTTAGTATGTAATTATGAAACATTTACACAAACATGGTCATTAAGTCTGTGATTAATGACTACTTATAGTGACAGTGACATATCCGGTAATAAGTCTTGGCCCATACAGACCCTGACAGCTAGGTAGCAAGTACCTGACTGATCACTGTCAGGGGGTCAGCTTGGTATGAGGTCTTACTTCCAGTGTAGTATAGGGACACATGTTCTGACAAGCGCCTCTAAATTACCTGGAATTAAATGCTGTTTCCATCTTTCTCCTTGTGTCTGGGTTCCTGGCTTTCTTCATGCATGGGAAATAGTGGGGGTACTTGAGAGACACCTTGTACAACCCACTCTCAGTCTGACACAACAGTGATACAAATATAGGAGCAATTGCAAAGCATTAGATCTTTCTAAGGGAAATAAAGAAACACACTGTTGATGTAACAAAGTGATTTTACAGGTCCCTACACTGTATAATTATCAAGTTACTATGTTCTTTACTAACTTATTGTTCCACAATATCAATGCATTATCAACTCAACTGGCTAGGGGCTATATTTTTATGACCTAAAAAACAAACATGAGGAAAGAGTAATAATAATATGTAAATACATCCATAATAATGTAATAGCGAATAATTTTACTATTTAGTGAGATTATTGTTCTGTAAGGCAAGTATCAGGATTTTATGAATGTTTCATTCTCTGACACAATACAGTCTATTAAAAATAACATACTCAATGAACCTAATATAACTGTTCCAAACACTGGCAAATATACATGAAGTGCTGTGCCCCTAACTAAGTCTCAAGTCACCATGGAATTGTGGTATACAGTTGAATGTACAACAGTCATCTGGTTGTCATGTGGTAAATGGCACTACATAAACTACCACGTTTCAGACTGGTAAATAAGTAATAAGATATTCTGTATCATTTACCTTCTCTAAAGCTTTCAGGAAGTCATCAGGCAGCCCGACTGTAAAATAAACAAGAATCACATACAGCAGGAGACTTTCTTTCTATCACCAGATTTGTGGATTATTATCCAAGCCATAATGTTATAAATGTAGAACAAGTTACTTCTTTCCAAATGAATTTATAACAGTTGAGCAATGAAAACCTCCGATGCAGATTGGTATCAGACTGGTTGTAATTCATTGACTTGTTATACAAATGAAAATCTGTTTCTTTCATCTTAATTTTGATCACATGTATCTTGCAGAATCATATTTTGAACATTGGTTCTTTATGTGAAAAGATTTAGTAAGTGAAAATAATTAGGAATACAGATTTAGTACCTGCATAACATTCGGACAAGCACAATTTCAGTTCATCATGTAACTGGCCCACAATAAAGAAGTAGTGTAATCAGAAAAGGTGTCTCACTACAAAAATGTTTTAAATTATAAATTCTATTCAATTACAAAGATGAGAAGTAAACCAGCAGACTTGGAGAATACGACATCTATTTCAATACAATTGCCATGCTCATTGTGTTATACCTAGCTCCTCCTCTGGGAACTCTAGAATGGTGTTTTCCTCATTTAGATTCTTGCTGAAGTCAATTCCCAGGTCACTCATTCTCTTCTTCAGCGCCTTGATGCGGTCTTGGACATCCTTTGGAAGATGCAGACCTGTGAACAGAATATCATGCTAATCAGGTCCTCCCATTGTGGCACTGAGCTTGTAGACCATAGTCTTTACACACGGCCAACACACTGCCTTCATGTGCCAGGTGCTGGAGGGTGGGAAGCTCGTCTAGGCATTGCTGAAGCCCAAACCAATAGTGTGACACTCTGTTTAGATAACAGGATATAACATGAGTCCATGACCAGAATGTAATAGTCTATCTACAATGATTCTGGCACCACTGGAGGAAGTCACTAGGGATGTAGGGTATCACTATAACACCCGTATGATCCTGACATCATAAAGACTGTGTAAAACATGTTTTTGAATGCATAACATAACGGTAAATAGGCAAGGCTAGTTTCACTGGATGGATGTTAGTGAAATTTGTTCACTGAAATCATGTTCATATTTCCATAAACCCAGAGTGGAACAAATTGGGGAAATGCAGTAACCTGAAAAACATCTCTACAAATCAACTAGATGAAGAGAACAAATCACTGGACTATTTCATTTCTGATATATGTTCCGCAAACATGATAAATACACTTTTGCCTATGCCAATCACACCATATCTGACAAAAGATATCTTTCATTGACAGGGCCATATTTGATTGACTTCAGTTTCGGTTGCTCCAATTATGTATCAACTTTGGTCAATACAATGACCAATTTTTAAATTTTGTCTAACACTACAATATTTCAGAGATAAGACTCTTACAAACAAAAAGAACCATTGCAAATTAACCCCAGCAATTACACCAGGGTGCTATGTCAGAGATTCATTAATTAGACCATGAAAACTTTCACTCGCAGCATATTTCAGGATATTTTTTCCCACTATGACATGACATTAACATGACAAATTTAAGCATGCGCAATTTTTTAGAAAAACTCTACTCAGGGCTCTATGGAATAAAATGATGAAACGTCCTGACCTTGGAATATTTTTCACAAAAACAACCAAAGTAAAATATGTGGAATAGCTGATAAACATGTCCTGAGTTTCCTCCAATGAGAATTGCCCCTACTGTGTCACATGGTGCACTGTTATATCCTGATCTACTGCGGAGGCTGTGTTTGTTCCAAGATGTATTGCTTTGTGATGTTTCTAATGTCACTTGATGCTCTAACAAAGATTTTACACGACATGTGGTCAGAGTGGTATTCCCTTTGTAACATCTAACATTCATGATAAAAAGAGATAATAATTTCTTTACAATCAACACGGAATGACAATGTTCAACATTGCTTACTAGGTACTTAAACTGGAATACCAAAGTGAATCAGTGTCAACTAATAGAGTAGTCTCCCTTATTACTTTTGTCAAGATTTAGGAAATTTCACAATTTCTCAATTCGGAGTGGTTGATAACATGGAACATTAAATCTCAAGCACTACAGGTAACAAATGTCAAGCATTTCTTTCCAACTTCTGTAGCAATGTGTAAAGACATGAGTGCATAGCTTTGTAAGGCATCAATATAAACTGATAAATCAAGTAACTTATTCACTGTACACTGAGCTTGCATCATCAATAAGCTTCAAATCCAATATGTATGCTATTTTTCAGAGCACCCCATCCAAGACCGAAAGAGGACATATTTTACAAAAAACACACCCATCACAACAAAGGATGGAATATATTTGCCAAGCAACTATTATCAAAATAAGTTTACTTCTATCAATGCTTGAACTAAGTCTCTGGAAACAAATAAAACTTGTGAATAGTTTCAATAAATACCTTATCACCCTCAAAAGTAGATGCCAACATCTCATGTGGGACTTTGAGCACTCAGAACATCAGATACTTTTAGCAATATGTCAAGAACTACTTTGGATGAACGAATAGTAATAACGAACAAAAATTTCAACCATTTGTATTCTATTTCCTGTCTAGGCCCTGTTTTATCTGTTCATAATTCTCTACTCAGCTATATTTTGGGGTGAAATGATGCAGACAATTCACAAGAAAATTTTGTGGTCCCTCTTAAACATTTCATTCAAATAAATAGCAAGACATAAAATGCTTCCTGACTCACTTTTATCCAAAAGTTAGAAGAGAAGCCAGTAATCGTGTTGCAATAAGTCAACAGTGGTGACCAAGATTGCTGTAAATAACAACACGCACGCATGCACATACCCACGCACGAACGCACGCACACACAAATGCATGCACACAAACACACCTCATGATAGGCTCGCTGACTTGGTTTGACAAATGTCATAATATCCCAAGTGAGTAGATCGATGCTAATGATATAGATCACTGAATTGTCTGGTTAAGACTCGATTATTTCTGCCAAATAGGTGGAATATTGCTGAGTAAGGCATTTAACAACAAACAAACAAACAAATTGTCATATCTACAAAGTTTTGAAAAAAGAGAGTGCACTATAGTCAAGAAATTACAGTCCCATGAGAGCCATATGGGAGTCGGGGAAACAAAGAATGGACTTCACTATATTTCTTATAGGGCTTTTCATCCCTCACTGTGGTGGTGTGTGGTCCTGTGCACAGAGCTCAGGCCACAAACCTAACTTAAAGGTCAAATAAACTTTGTTTTTGTTACGTTTTAAAACACAACTTTGCAGATTCGTGATACCTTTTCGGGTTATTAATGCCGACGTGATTAAAGTTGCCAAACAAATCATCAAAAAACCAAGACAGGTTTCAAGTTATAAAGTTGAAAAATAGCACTCATCATTTGAATGAAAAAACATGCGGCTTTGTCGCCAAATCGGAGGTTCAAACGATTCACTATTTTCCCGAAAATTTCTGGGGAAAAACGGGTTTTCAACAAACTGGGCTAAAAATATGTATATGATTGATGACCATAAGCTTTTCATACAACTTGTATGCGCTAGGTGAAATAGGTCATAAGCAACTTGGAAGCAGGCTGTCTGGTGAATACTACATATTTTAGAATTAATGAGTGAAGGCTTTGGTGTGAGCTATTTTCACAATGTTTTGTTGATATCTCACATTTTGGCGTAGCTTTTTTATATGTTATGACAGTAAATAAACTGTTTATATAATTCCATTTGTCTATTTCACCACACGTCAATGTTCTTCTTACATTTTGAAACTCACTCTTCTCAGTTCGATGAATTTAAAAGCAATGTCATTATTTAGCGTTGACAGAATTTCTAACTGTGATATAGATATGTCGTTGTCACAGACAAAACTCAATGTCTTGTTTTATTGACACCTGTGTGTCTGCCTGCCTGTCTGTTAATGACAATATTCAATACACAACTGCAGCGATCACTGACCACATGCAATTTGAACTTAACACCAATCAGGCTATACACCATAAACAAAACGCATTGATTTAAAACAGTGGCCCAAGTTGGGTCTCTGTCACATTATGTAATTACACAGACAGGCAGGTGATGATACTTGAACACATGACATGTTATGATAAAAGTAATTAATCTCATCGTTGATTGCAAAATGTTATACACAAAAATGAGCATGTATTTACAAATTATCCAACATCTCTATATATACACATGTGTACGAGGGAGTATTAATTGCTGTATTGGAAATGGGATCTGCTAATACAACCAGCCGTTACACTTGAGTTTTGCACACCCACCTATGAAAACTTGTAACTGACTGGGTTCGACAGTATCCCGCTGCTTCGTTTTCGAGGGAGGTAAACCCAAACCTGTACAAAATATTGCACTTTGTGATTTGCGATTATACGCTTATAATTTTGTTTATTTGTTTTTTCATAATCAGCAATGCATATTATATGTCATGAAGAAGTGATAATTGTGTTTTAATTATGTTTGATTTTGTGGTTGCATGTGACCTTTAAGCAATGCTGGGCCTGGAGAGTCCTTGGATGGGTGACCGTGTTTGGCAGCTTGAATACTGAGAGTTTCTAGGACTTCAGTCCTGCCCCACAATGATGCATATGTGATATATGTGGTCTCACCTAAGGCAAGCGAGTTTGTTCAAAATTGCCTCTGTTCACCCAGCAGAAAAATTGGTAACTGGTGAGATAAGTCATGTGACTATTAACCTTCTAGCACCTCACAGGCAGCTTGGGTTATCTTGGGTAATAATAATCAACTTGTCTGTGCTTTACGCAGCGGCAATGGATGGAAAATAGCACATAACAAATGCACTTTTTACTGTCTCCTGCATGACGACCCAATGCCATGAGCACATCTAGAAACAGAACGTTCTTACTTCCTCGGACATGCTTGACACAATACATATTTCTAGTGTGGTTTGATGTTTCCCGGTTAGTGCGAGACAGAGTTCTGTTCTTATTCCCGGATCCTGTGATGTTTTTTACTGACATTGTATGTCGTGAAGGATGCTGTGTCAGACATTGACGACTAGCCGACCACAAACCATCTGCACTTTTTAAAACATAAAAGACATCCTTCTAATTTTTCAAACGTTTACAATTCCTAGTAGGGACGATTTAAGAGCCTTACTTTTCACATGCCACAATACAGTGTTGTACATTCCCACTTAATGCCTACAGGGTAAGTTTATGATGCATGGGTTGGCCTAGGAGACATGGCCTGCTGTGAAGAAACTGAGAACATCACTTAGCATGAAACCTTCTGTTGTCCAGAAGGGTACATTTGAGTGCACTATAATCAAAGTTAAACTGCTTGAGACTAAGTTGATCTAGCACAACAAAAGATCATCTTCAATATACAATAATTAAAATTTATAAAGTACATCTCTGTTTGTCCAGAGTTAAGTACTTATCTTCTCTCCAAAGAAATAGGGTGATGCTTCAATTTTCACATGTTTTAGCAGATATAGTGTTGTCAGTAGCAGAAAATATTAACTGTGCTGGTTTCTTGCACTTCCTTACAGCCTCAGTGCTACGGTGCATAGTTATATGCATGGCTTCTGGCTCTTCTATGCCTTCTGAATACAGTCGTGTGCAAGTACGTGTCCCTAAGTGGTTGGTGAAACAAGCATTGATTCCAGTAGTATTGCACATGTCTTTCATGAGACCTTGAAGTTGT